GGAATTCCATACGCTTCGGCTATTGGATCCATCATGTATGCCATGATATGTACGAGACCAGATGTCTCGTATGCTTTGAGCATTACGAGCAGATACCAGTCTGACCCTGGAGAAGGGTCACTGGATAGCAGTCAATACCATCCTTAAGTACTTAAGAAGAACTAAGGATGCGTTTCTGGTCTATGGTGGGGTTGATGAGCTTTCAGTGAAAGGGTTCATTGATGCCAGCTTTCAGAGTGACAAAGATGACTGCAAGTCACAGTCAGGGTTCGCATTCACCTTAAATGGTGGGGAAGTATCTTGGAAGAGTTCCAAGCAGGAGACAACAACAGCTTCAACGACAGAAGCTGAATACATAGCTGCTTCAGAAGCGGCTAAGGAGGCCGTGTGGATCAAGAAGTTCATATTTGAACTAAGGGTGGTTCTAAGTGTGGATAAGCCCATACAGTTGTTTTGCGACAACACTGGAGCCATTGCACACTCAAAGAAACCTAGGTCTCATCAAAGATCTAAACACGTGCTCCGCAGATATCACCTGATTAGAGTAATCATTGATAGGATAGATGTAAAGATGGATTATGTTCCCACAGATAATAACCTAGCCGATTCTCTGACAAAGGCTATTTCTCAGAGAAAACATGATAGTCATTATGAGGCTTTAGGTATACGACTTAGGTCAGATTGGCTCTGGGCCAAGTGGGATCTTGTTAGTATATGGATTTCCTAGAGACAATCTTTTGATTAGATTAGGACATATGTGGACCTTTTATATTGTCGCAAATAAATAAAAAGCACTCTTTATCCTGTTTCATATTTTGTCTCAATATTATAGTTAATATTTTATATGAGTAACTGGATGAACCCCTTGGAATAAAATAGGTATCTTTTGAGTATCTGTGATGAGATCACGATCACGAGGATTCAAGGATACTTGATGTTTATTCCTAATTTTATGTTCCTAGTCTAGAGACACTGAGAATGGGGATCCGTGATCTCGGGTAAGACTAGCACGACTTATCTACTTGTATTCGGATGCAAGGTAAAGACCTCATGAGCTACAGATATGGAGATGTCTTAGCTAAATTCGTGGGTGGACCTATAAGGGTATAGCTCGCACTGAACAGACCCACAAAGAGACTCTATGAGGAAATCTTACAAAAGTATCATTAGAGCAGTCTCTTAATATATGGGTATGTCTTTCATTAGACCATAAGTTGTCACCTAGACTGTGTTCTAGAAGGCATGTTTTGATTGTATACCTCGTCTGCCTGAAACATGGAGACTCATAGGTGTACTTTTGGGCATGTCCTGAAAGAGCACAGGCATAGGGTGATAAGCTGAAGGAATTCGTCAAATCTCTGTAAGGGATTAGGTTATCTGTAAACCGGAGAAATAGGGATGACATTTACAGGACTCAGGAATCTATGCATAGTAAAAGAGTTCATTAGATGACCTGCCTTTAGAGTCAGTAAATTGAAGATTCCCTGTTTCGAATAAAGCTTACCCTAAACCGCAAGGGTTAATACGTTTCCTTACCCTAGGTTTAATGGGAAGGTAACCGAGACGAAAGGAAATACATACGGCAACCAAATATGTGTAATAAGATTATTATGTCATTAACCTAACTAGCTCTGGGGCAACAAAGCATTGCTAGTGCTCTGTGTTGTCATTAGATGGGTTGTGGGCTTATTGGGCCCAAGCACATTTATGTCAGTGGCTATGTTGGGCCTAATGGGTCACACACTAACACCTTATTGTCATGACAATATAACATTAAAGGTATTGGGCCTAATAATGGTTGTTAGCCCAAGAAGGAGTTTGGAAGCCCACCAAAAGGGAAAAGGGCGCATGGATCATGTAATGGGTTTGGATGGTCCAAGACATTACTAATTAATTTAATTAGTTAAATTAATTATCAAATATTTAAATTTTGTATTTTGAAATTTGAATTTGAAATTGGAATTTTGAATTTTGAATTTTGAATTTTGAATTGGAAATTTGAAATTCGAATTTTGAATTTGAAATTTGAATTTTGAAATTTGAAATTTGAAATTTGAATTTTCAATTTAGAATTTAAATTTAAAATTTAAATTTTGAATTTAAATGTTTGAATTTGAATTTGAATTGGCTATGAAAAGTTGTTTCATAACAAAAGGATAAGATAAGATCTTGTTAGAACAAATCCCAAGTATCAAGGGAGATCTTTGGCCATCATCCAAGGCTGATTTGGGGCGCTAATTTTTGGGGATTATGATGGTCATATGATCAACCAAATAATCTCAAATCAGATTTGGTTGGTTGAGAGAATAAGTGAGTGAGTTGGTTCAAGTTTGAATGCAACTGCTCAACGTATCTGGACTGTTTTGAGGCTAGATGGGGCGCACCATATGGCTGGCCATATGCTGGTTGTTAAGTCAAATTTTTGTTGAGATATGCACTTGAGATCAAGAGGACATGATAGGAGGTTGTTGGAAAGATTTGATTTGCAACAATTCCACTCATTCTTCTCCTAGTGTGCGCTACATAGGGCTGATTTTTGAGTGAATAAAATCAGATTTTTATTCACTCATTCTCTCATCTCCTTTTGTGATCCTTTTGTGAAGTTTTTCTTAAGAGAGTTTTGAAATTACCTAGCACTTTCTAAGTGAATTCCATGCGCCACTTTTGTGTTTTTTCTTGCTGAAAATTCACTCAACTAAACACCTTGAAACCTTGCCTCCTTCCTCTCAAGGTCAGTATGGTATGTCCTAAAGCATGTTTCTTGATATGGTATGTGTTATTCCGCTCGAAAATTTTTGTTTTTCCCTTTCACATGCCTAGACCTTCAAGGTCAGTATCTTTCAGTGTTGAGATACTGGTATTGGAATTGGAATATTATTTTCCAAAATCGTGGCCACGTAAAATGATTTTTTAGTTACTAACCCGATAAAGTCGTTTTCAAAATAAAATGATTTTCAAAATAATATTAAATTAATTAATATAACCCAAGTGGGAGAATGTTAGAAAATTTCCTTTATGTGGGCAATATTAATTAATTAGTTTTCTGTTTTAAAATTAATCGGGCTAATGGATATTCCAATTGTATTATTTGATAAGCCCGTTGTGATCATGTTGAGTTGGACTTTTGACATCTGTTGGTATTGAGCCTAGTTGAGCAACACAATGTAGGCATTAGAGTTTGATCGTGCTTCTGTGATGGGTGAACCCATCAGACACACTGTTGATTAGGGTTTTGCTAGGTCCCTTCTCTAGCCTATTTGTTTTTGGGATTAATTTTCATGAGCCGTCATGCTCCCATCGCTGTCATTTTGGAATAGGTCATAGAGAGGAAGACTCTAGCCGTGAGATCAATGTTTTTCGCTCAGTAGATAAAATGATCCAATCAGGTACACAAATTCCTCTCAGAATAAAAATTGATATGTGGTATATTTTATCTATCATACATATATCGATCTTCATGTTAAATTATTATATGAAAAATTCTTACAGTATTTAGATATATTACGCATCTAAATGTAATAAAGACATTAATTCATAATTAAAGATATTATCACTATCATTCCAAAACAAACGGGTTAAAAAGAACAATTTAAGAATCCACTAGTTTTAGAACAAATCTCAGATTAAAATAGAGAAGTACTTTGTACGAATAATAAGGAGTTATGAGTCATACTTTCCCTCTAATTTGACTCTATGTGCTAAAGCCCAACAAACGCTTTGCTTCAATTAACCGTCTTTACCTATCACTCAATAGATCCCAATATTATTCTTCTCGTTCTAGAGAACACACAACTCTAGACTCAAATAATACTAATAATCAGTGTTAATAAAATCGGATGAAACCGGGCGGGTCGACTTGAAAATCGGTAAATCAATAATCGGTCTGGTTGAAGTAATGGATCGGTCATGTATCAAAATCGGTGCGACCCGATTTGACCCGGCCCTGTCCAAAAAATAATTCAAAATTTTTTTTCCAAAAAAAAAATCATAATAGACATATTTGAATATTTTTTTCTTATTGACTTACATAAATTATGTACTTATAACACTAATATTATCTTAATTATGCACTATGTAGAAATTTTTTATTTGATTTATAGTTAGAGATGTCATTTTCTGAACCTAAAGTCCTGTATCACGATAATTATATTTTTGTTTGATTTTTTATTGGATAATAATATGTGATTTATTATTTTTTATATTAGAATATTTGAAATTTTTATCATTTTTTTAGATATTTGAGTATGTTTATAATTTTTTAATATAAATTATGAAACTACATATAATTACCGGATCATGCAGTTGAACCAATGACTCATTGGTTGAACCAGCCACTGACCCAGTACTTCGACCGGGTCTATTTTAATAACATTGCTAATAATACATAGAATTATATCATTTTAAGTGATAAAAAGACGCAAATAATAAAAATCATAGGGAGTAAGTGAGTGATTTTTTAATTTAAATTTTAAATAAAAAAATAATTTATATCTTTTTCTCCCATAAAATGACATAACTCTATGTTCTTTAAAATATAAACATTTTTTCCACATGAAAAATATTTTTATTTTCTTTTCCAGATTGTGAATTATCGACTTTACCAGGTTAATGGATATTCTCTCATGAATTATATCGGAATTTATAAATCTAAATAAAAAATAAAAAAACATTTCAATTATAAATGAAATGAATAAAATTGAAGTAAAATTTTAAAAATATATTAAGAGAAAATTATTTAAAGTTACAAAATTAATATGCATAATTATTTTAAAAAGAATATAAATATAAAATTTAAAAAATTAAATATTAAAAAATAATATATGTAAATATTTTAAGTGAGAGTATTTTCTCTTTAATATTATTTTTTCCTTTCACTTAAAACACGATATCCTTTTTTCTGTTTTCTTTTTTTTTCTTTTGGTAATATAACTCTTCTACCCGATTCTATTGATCACCGTCACTAATCCACGTTTTGATTTGAAATCCAAATAGGTACCTAACCCAAACTCTTGGTTTTTTTCTTCTTCTTTTTTTGAAATATCTCTTTGTTTTTTTCTTTCTCATACTATAGAAGGATTCAAAGTTGCAGAGCCATCGAAGATACTGAAGCTGCAATACTATTCATTTTGCATCATACACACACTATATAATATTTGTTAGTTTTCTTATTTTCTCAGTTTCTCATTCAACAATTAATTTTATTTTTCCATTCCCTTTCTCGTAGATTCGTACTTTAGGATTTTGTAAATTTTAATTTGGGTCTGATTTGCAGATTCCCTTTCTCTCTTTTTGATTTGAAATCCAAATCGATATCGAACCCTAACTCTTTAGGGTTGGTGTTTCATTAGTTAGTTACCAAGTGGTACAGATTTTCGGAATTATATTTGTTCGTGGAAGAAATGTGATGTTCTGTTTGATTCTAATTATTGAAAATCATAAGTAGTTGCAGTTTTCACTATTATGCCAGGATGTGTATAAAATTGTAGTAGAACTTGAGCTAATTTGTTATATAGATTTTGCATTACTTGATAATATTGTTAAAACTTCTGTTGTGATGCATTTGATTGTCCGTACGGCCTGTTTCAAGAACTGTTTTGATTGTGTTGTAATCATTCTTTTTAATTGACATTTAAGCTGTGTGTGCGAATTGACAACCCCGTGCAATTTCAATGGTTGTTCTGAGCATGCAATTCTTTTTCATGAATTGTAGGTTTTGGTATGAGAATGAGAAGTAATTTTACCAGAGTGTTGCATATATTATGTGTTCGTGTGCAGTAATTTATATTTATTAACTTGCACTTTTGTTTTGATGATGCTGTCTGTCTGCTCCTAGTGTTAAAACTGACGACTCATTTGGGGATTCTGATGGTCTCAAGGATCCTGGGTTGAAGAAGAGGTACGCAATTTTATTCACCTTTTTTTCTCATTAAAAAATAATTCAATATTAATGAATAAAAAGAGCATATAATTAACATCTGTAGTGTAGTCATTTAGCACTTTATTCATTTTATTTCCCGATCTCTGTTGTTTGCTTGTGTGGTTTAGAATTTAGATTATTTATAAAACCATGTTTCTTTTTCTAGAATAACAACTCGGAAGGTGTAATGTGTATCAGTTCTAGTATTGTTGTGGGATAGATGTCACATGAGCCAAATGGTGCGGTTTAGAATGGAGTGTAAAGTTGGTAAGTGTTGGGGGATCCTTGGTTGAGACTAGAAAGCAACCTCTGCAAATATGAGCTTCAATTTCTTTGTCTGCCTCGTCAAAACTAAATGGTCACACCATAATATATAAAGAATCACATGAAGGAGAGAGAGGAACATATGGCTAAACATAATATGACTCTACAAATATACAGAGCTGGGTTTGTTTGCATTCATGGGTGTGAATAGAGTTAGCCCCATTCAAATATAATGGCTTAAAGGGTAATAATCATGAATGAAATAAGAGGCCTCTAGAGATATATGGACAAAGAAATTCTTACTTTAAATATTGTATGCATTAATTTAATTTTTTGATATATTAATTCATTTAAAAATCGAATTAATCTTTAAAAGATCGACTTTGTATCTTGGATTTTGAGCTTTTCTACTATCTTGTTTCAAGGAGATGACATGTGTACTTTGTAACTTCCTTCTGAGCTATACTTGGGCCTTTTTGGTGTGATGTATAAGGTTTGATAGTATAGGCTTATACTATACGTTATGATGTTTTTAGTTGTTTGGTGTGACCATCGTATAGTATAAGTTTATACAGTAAAATCTCTTAATACATCAAAATGATGTATAACTTAATAAGGCCTAGGGGGTGGGATTAGGCCAGATAAGGGGTTGATGTATTAACATCTCTGACCAGTGCAATTCTCAAGAATTAATATATTATTATAATATTATTATATTAAAATAAAAATTAATTTTTAAAATATTGGAGATTTTTATTTTTATAAAAATTAATATATTTTCTGGACACATTGATCAATAATTTTTTATAAAAATTAATATCATATGACATATTTGGAAGAATTATATAAATTCTTTATTAAAGTGTATTTTTGTCAAAAATATTTATTATTATTGTATCTAGTATATACAATGTATTACCAAACACTGGATGATATATCTTATACAATATCATGTCAAACGTTGGATAATACTAGAATTTAATCAGGTATTATCATACTTTTGAATAGCCCTGTTGTAGCGCGCTATAGCAGAGTTGCAGTGCAGCGGCCGGCCGCCATAGACCGCACCGCGACGGTTAGGCGAAGTGTAGCGGCCGCTATTGCGGCTGAATCACGGCGTTATTGCGCCGCTACAGTAGTTTCTGCAAAAGTGTTCTCATCATAGAAGGAAGAAATATAAAACTTAGATACAAGGGAAAGTGAAGATGAAGATTTGGATGTTCATGATTTCAATTATGATTAGTTCCTTAAGTTCTTTGATTTTGACATTTCACTTAATTGGCAGTTTGAATTTTGACTAATTTTGCCACTTTATTTAGTTGTGTTACATTATTTGAGAAATTCCTTCAATTTGCTTATGATTTGAATTTTAATGTTTGAAATCATTTATATTTGAGTTTGAGATATTTCAAATTTGTTTTTTATGTCACATTTTCATATTTTAGGTTTTATATTTGTGGAGTACAATTTAGTGTATCACTTAGGTACACTTTGCACAGTAGCGCTACCCGCTATAGCGCTATAGCAGTTTGGAGGGTCAGCTGCTACGCGCCGCTATCCGAGATTAATAAGTATGGGTATTATACAAGCAGATTTTATACTATCATGCCTCATCCTATATTGTGCACGAAACATGCCCTTAGTTTGGACTCACATATATGCATGTACAACTAGTGCTGTCAAAATGGGCTCAAGCCCATGGGACATCCCTGAGACCCGATACCATGCCCATAATTTTTTAGCCCATGTATATTGGGGTTGTTTTAGCCCTAACCCACAAACTTCTATTATTTCTTGGGTTGGGGTGGAGCTAACCGCGGGCCAACCCAGCCTAAATTTTTTTCTGACTCTCACTTCCAAGTTCCAATTTTTCATTGATTCTTCTCAAACATCAAGTTCTTTCGGTGTTTTTCCCCCTTCAATTTTTAGCTTGAACCCTAAAATTCAGATTTTTTATTAAGGATTAAGGATGCTGAATTTCCAACTTATCTAATTGATACTCTTCTTTTTCCTTTTTTGGAAACCCAAGTCTGATAAGAAGGAATACGACGAGGTATTTCATTGTCGACCAAACCCAAAAGATTGCTTTGCACAACCATCTCATCCTTCAAGATTTCAAGAAGGTTCTCTCTCACTATTTATAATAATTTGAAAAAAAAAAAAACCAAAGTAAGAGCATATAAGCTTATGAGTGATAATTTTAATTATATGAATACGGTATTTTCTGAATTCTGCTTTAGCTTAAGTTTTCAAGATATGGAAATATTAGTTTTTTTTAATTTTTTTATTTAGTTTAGTGTAATTTTAGAAGCCTTGCTCAAGAGGGGGGAAATGTTTGATTAACATGTTAGAGTGGGATATAACAAGATCGTAACCAGCCTTAAAGCCTACTCGAGTAAATTTGCTGGAAGATTATAAAGATTAAATTTGAAAAAGATTTCCAGGACTTAATTCTCAGTAGCATGCAAATATCTAACATCTAGCAACAGCATAAACTACAGGTTCTTTGTTCTTCTGGTTTTGTTTTGTCTTTTGCTTATATTAGATTATTTATCCTCATATATGCAATTCTCTTTCTTTTTCACTATTACGAAATGCGTATGTTAAAAATGACAGTAATCATTTTTTATTCAGTTACATTGTTAGTAGTGTACTTGCTGAAGCATGTGTGAGTTTTTATAAATTCTAGAAGTAAATGAGTGACTCCTGATAATATGACTGAAAGTTTATTTTAAATTTTATTTTGCTGACCAAGGCATTTTTAGTATGGAGTAGAAACAGTACAATGGGAAATGTAGTAAATGAAAGAAACTTTCTCTGGCTTCCATTCATTTGTAGTTTATATATCTATATTTTGGGTCAATGGAGTAAACAATACATGAGAGTTTGGAATAAAAATGATGTTGATAATTTTCGATATACTTTTGATGTCCAATCATCATTTTAGATACTATCCTTCTTTTCTTTTTTTGTTGAAACATGAACTCATGCTTTTTTTTCTTCAAGGAAGTAGTAAATTTAATAAGCAAGAACACAATTTCATTTCTTGTTCTTATATTGGTATCCTGATATCAGAGATAGCAAAATTTTCCAGAATATTATTTCTGTTGCTTTTCTTACTGTTTTGATTTTATTGGATTATGATACCTTTTATTTATTTGTTTATTCTTACGCCGGGGGAAGATAGGGAGTTTATTTTATGATTTCATTATAATGAAATCAAATTAATTCCATTTTTAATGTTTTTCAAACATTGCAATTGAAATCCCTTTTTTTATAATGGGTTCCAAACATATGATTTGATTTCTATATCAGATCAAATCAATTCAATTCAACTTAAATCAGAACATTTCCCATTTGTAATGATTCCAGACATATTCTAGTTATGGAGGAGCAATTCTTGCTTAGAGTTCCACCTAGTATTGCGGAGCAGATAGAGCGTCTTCTGAATGAAAACAATCCTTCTTCTTCGTCTGAAGACAAGTCATTAGATTTGTCATTTAGTGAGGATGGAAGAAGTGGTACATTTGTGATTGGGAATGATCACTTTCCAGCTTCTCTATTGGACCTTCCTTGTGTCGTTGAATCCTACAAGACTTATGATGATAGCTCATTGATTAAAACTGCTGATATTGGTCAGGTCAGGTGTCCATCGCTATTCACTTAATTCATTTATTTTTAATCTTACTCTCAATTTTATATAACTAATTAACTAACTAACTGCTTAATGTTACCAACTAACAGATGATTATGGTGAGGGAATCTGGTGATGCTGCTCCAGATGTAATTGAGTACAGACATGGCCTCACCCCTCCTATGAGAGATGCCCGCAAGCGTAGATTTCGCAGAGAGCCTGATCTCAATGTATTCTATTCATTCTTATAACATTGAAATTAACATGCCTTGTGTAGAGACACACACACACATATATGAGATAGGATATTGTTACTATCAGTTAGTGTTATTATCAATATCACTACCAGTTTGTTTCACTGTCAGATCGATTATGTTGATTCAACAGTTATATTGATTTCCACCTTTGTATGGTTATGATTTCCCATATTTAATGCTTTCATATCTAATATGGAGAATCATAACCATACAAAGGTGGAAATAAATATAAAGTATTAAATATAGGGAGAAGAAAGAAAGTTTTTAGAAAGTTAAATCAAAACCGTTAGATCAACATAATCGATCTAACGGTGAAACAAACTGGTAGTGACATTGGTAGTAACAATATATATATATATATATATATATATATATATATATATATATAGCATCAGATCATTTACACTGGTGTAAGTTATACTCTCAATCTTGACCATTGATTCCACTTATATCTAAGGGCTTTAATTTTTTAGTAATATGAGCCATTGGATACAAGTGGATCAATGCTCAAGATTGAGTGTAAGACTTCTAACTCTTATACTGGTGTAAGAATATCCTGCCCCTTTTATATATATATATATATGCTCTCATGCTTACTATTTTTTATATATGCTCTCATGCTTACTATTTTTTAAAAATTTTCATTTTCCAGCCTGAGCTTGTTTCACGGGTTGAGAAAGATCTTCTCAAAATCATGGCAGGAGGAACAGCTGGCAATCTTGATATCCTTTTATCTTATTTGTTTCAAACAGCAATTTAGTGAGCATTCCAAATACAAATTTATGATTCCGCTTTAAAATTGTTCTCTTTAAAATGGACAGTTGCCAAGATCATTGTTGTTGCTTACTTCGTTACCCCTTTTAAGGCATTTGCTTTTTAAACTTCTTGACGTGGGATTCATGGGATAAACTAGAGTGGCTTTTTTCATCAATGCCAAGAGCAATTGTTGCTCTCTTGATTGTGTAAACAAGCTTTCCTTGACTGAGATTCACATGTGGAAGCAGCTGAGCAAGAAGGGGATGAGAATACTCGAGGTGCTAATAAAAAACCTGCACCTACACCTGTACCAAAACACAATGTTCCGGAGACTCTTACAAATGCAGGGGAACCCGACAGGACTGACTCTGACGAATCTGATGACTCTGTTTGACTGAAATCAGCTACCAAAGAATATTACAATGATGAAATGTATTGAATAACTTCTTGCTGTTAAATCTGTCTCTCACCTACCATTTAAAATCGGTTACAGTGGATTTGCTATCCCACATTGTGCATTTCACTTGCGAAATGATTTGTTGTATTTTACGCTGTATTTAATTGTCGAAAAACCTTTTAGGTCCTGATTTCCCCTGCATATATGTGAATAAGGTTAAGCTGGTATTTATTTCAAGCCATTTTGTTTAAATGTTTACTCATCCAGCCATGGAGGGTGTGACTCTTTATGCTGCTTGGTTAGTGACCTAGTGTTAAAATTTATCCCTCAAGCATAGTTTTGTGGACCCAGTTATAATTTTGATACAGATCAAACATGAGAATGTGCTTCTTAATAAAATATGCAGTTATCTAGCCAAGAGCTGTACGAATTTTCTTGGAAATAGGAAATGTTTAATTCTTAGAATCTCAATCAGATTGATTCGTTAGCATTACCACTCTACGAGTCAAATTATTGTAGCAGGTCTAAGCATTCTCAACAGTAGCATTTGGTTCATTTGCTCCACCAAAACTTGGTCAGCCAGTCTCTGAAAATAAAGGGTGTTTATTGAAATTGAAGGCTTGTATGGAATAATAGGTAGCATCCACTACAGCATCAAACATACTGTTACAATGGAAGAGTGTGTTCAGGTCAACAATAAGGGATCGGAATAGAGCATATTTAATTGGGAAAATACCGTCTCCTTTAGTATATCCATATTAAGAATAGCCATTTAGCATGCAAGAGGAATTTGTGTTCTTCAAAAACTGGAGGAGTTGCTGTAATATTAGTTGACGGCATGTAAGCAGCTACATTTTTATTAATCAAGGCTGTAACAACTGATGGAGATTCTCCAATCCTTAGTATCTCCACATCGGTAACACCAACAATCACTTCGATATTAAGTGTTTGAAAGGGCTTGTAGCATGTGCATATTGGCATCAAACAGACGAACATGAGTAATTTGATGGGCTTTTAGAATAGCAACCCCATTTGGAGCAGATGGTAGATCAGAAAACATCAGTGCAATGTTTACCCCCACAAATGCACCTACATAGTACATGTTCAAGAATTTGATCCAACATCAATTGAGAAAATAGTTCAACAATCAAACGAAATCACAACTAAAATTGCTAAATAAATAATAGTTTAAATAAATTGAAGAGAATAATTTAATAAACAATTACAATTGAACAAGTGCAGATGAAAAAAGGTAGAGAAAAACCTAGAATGCAAGATGTTTATGGTTGTATGTAAATATAGTAGGAAGAAGCTAACCAAAACATTGATTTATATGGTAAATAGTAGATAGCTAATCTACCTAGCTTGCCAAAACCAGCACTAAGTGGTAGGAAGGAATAAAAACCAACGGCTGAAATAACCCAACACTTCCTATTCCTCTATAAAACTCCTTTAAGTAAACAATGTGTTAGTATCCAAAAACTAAAAACTTTAAGTAGAAGAAACTTTAACTAGATCTTGAAATCCCATCCCTTTGGGCCAATAAAGCTTTCTATATTTATCCAATATATTTTCTTGATATCCAATTCTCTTAGCTTCTGGCATAAAAAGAACTTTGAAACCTGGCTTAGAATATATTTTACTCCCTCGGGGAGGGGTATACTTACTACCAGCTAAATTTACTACCTTTACAACCAATCTAATCATTGTTAGATTAGAATTAAATCTAACGGTGATTAGGTACCCCTTATAATCTTAATTTTTTCTCTCACATCCCCTCTTTGTTTGGCTCTCTCTAGGTTTCCATCCCCTCTCTTTAGGTTTAGTAAACGCACAATAGGGATCGCCATCATTTTGTTTTGAGCGCTTCAAAAGCAATGACAACGAAGTGAATAATAAAAAAAATAAAATTATTTTTTAATAAGATTAACGAATGACTTAACAAATTTTTCATTGTCTTTGACAAACCCATGATAACAACCTGTGTGTCCAAAGAAACCTCTCAAGCTCCTAATGATTCAAGGAGCAGACAATTGCAGTATACTCTTAATCTTCTTAGGATCCATGGACATTCTCAATTTGGATATCATGTTGCCAAGTATCCGAATCGTTTCTCCCTGGGGTGTTGGAAGCCTTTACCACAAATGCATTAGAGTTTTATATATATATATATATATATATATATATATATATATATATATATATATATACTCATTCATTATCCTTCCTTGCATAAAAGTGATGAGGCTCTCATATATGTTTCCCTGATCTCTAAATTGTTGAATCAATGCTACCATTGAACCTTCAAAATCTAGAGAGAGACAGAGGCAGGCAAAGGGGATGGAAACCTAGAGAGAGAGAAGGGGGCCAGACAGAGAAGGGATGTAAGATAAAAAATTAAGATTATAAGGGATAATTAATCACCATTAGATTTAATTATAATCTAACGGTGATTAGATTAGTTGTAAGGATGATAAATTTAGCTGGTGGTAAGTCCAATGAGCCTTTAATATTATACTCTCCTTGAAAAAGCATAAATCTTTGAACATTTAGCACTTTGTGAAAAACATAATGTTTTCCCCTTAAATTTAAATTTTTTTCATTTTATTTTTAAAATATCTTATATTTAATGAGATAAGATTTTATGTCTATATTTTTTCATGCCTACTTTATTTATTTCTTTTTACACATTTATTCACTCTTTCTCTGTATTTCTGGGGTGGTTTAGATTGTGATTTAAGTTAACGATCCGAAGAAAAATAGATAAAGTATACATATAAAAAACTAAGCATAATACCTTATCTTATAATTAAAATTTTTGGGGGATGGTTATATTTCCTCTCTATTTATTCTTCCTATCCTCACTGCCTTTTTATCACCGTTAGCTTATATTTATTGAAAAAGAGATAAACAAAAAATGTAATTTGTTGGGGAAAAGAAACAGGGGAGATAAAAACAAAATAAAAAAATATTTTATATTTGATACCGTTAATTTAAATTTGATCCAATGGTAATAAAAAAAATAAGAATAAAAAGATTAAGGAAAATGATATTATAACCGTTGGATCAACATAGTAACAGTGAAATTGATTGTTTAATAATAGCATTATAGCAAGAGTAATTGTTCTTACAATATCCTAACGCAAAGATTAAAAATAGGTAGACATTAGACAATACCACCTTTCCCGAATTTTAGTAACAACACTTTTAAAAAGAAATAATTTTTTACCCAAATTTAATCACAACAAAATAATACACTTACTCATTGAACCCAAGCGTTTGAGAGAGGGAAAAGCTAAAAGAGGATAGAATAGCAGGCATGAAAGGCAATCCTCTTTGAAACAAAAATCAATCCCTGTGACTGAGAACTGAATTAAAGCTCATACTGTGAAAATAAGAAGATGCTGTTGATTCTTTGTCCCTATAATTCCCTTTGTTTTCACAAATGTACATTACATGTCACTGATTTCTGCAACACCTTGAAGAACAAACCACATACGAACCCCATGAAACCCCCATCTCCAACACCCCAACATTTTTTCCCTTACACAAATAAATTTGCAATTTTGGGTGCTACCCATGTTGCATTTTGCTCAAGGAATGAGGAATTTGATGGGTTTTCAAGTAACAAGTTATCTCAAGAGGTAGTTGATGATAGAATCCAAGAGCATGGAACGCTTGAGTTGATGAAAAAGCCTTCACTGGTTCCTGAAAATGGGTCGTCTTCCGAGGTTGATATGGACAGAGAGAAATCTTCCACAGAAGATGAGGCTTTCACACCCTTTTTGAAGTTCTTCACAAGAAGTGATTCTGTGGTGGAGGTAAAAGAAGATGTTGAGGTGTTAGAAGTTTGTGATGAAAGAGACAAGATAGATGATGAGAGTGAAGAAGCTAAGAAGGTTAATGCTGAGTGCTATGAGCCCAAACCTGGGGATTTTGTGGTAGGTGTTGTTGTTTCAGGTAATGAAAACAAGCTCAATGTCAATGTTGGAGCAGAGTTACGAGGGACAATGTTGACAAAGGAGGTGCTTCCCTTGTATAGTAAAGAAATGGAGTACTTGTTATGTGATGTGAACAAGGGTGAAGAGAATTTTATGATTCAGGGGAGGATGAGAATTCTGAAGAATTATGATGCAATAAATGGAGTACCAGTTTCAGGAAGTACTGTTGTAGAGATTGGTACCATTTTGTTTGCTGAGGTTCTGGGAAGAACACTTACTGGTAGGCCATTGCTTTCTTCTAGAAGGCTCTTCCGCCGGATTGCCTGGCACCGCCTGAGGCAGGTTTTTCACTTCCTTTCATTCTTCATTTCCCCTTATTACCTATGCTTAGTATAGTATATATGGTAGCTTTCATGTAGAGTTTGTGAGTGGGAGATGCAATAGTCCTTTTGACTACTTAGTTGGAAACTAGGAAGCAGGGACATGACATAGGACATGAATTAAACTAGGAAGGATCAGACCCAATGTGTGAGTCTATATGGGTATCCTTACCTTACATTTTTAAGAGGCTAGTTATATGAATCCAACCTATGACCTTTAGGTCACATGGCAACAACATCAACCATTGTGGTATGGTTCCCAGTAAGACAAAAATTAAGAGAAAATTCTGAAATTATAGGGAACAACATGGTTTGGATACAACATATAAAATTTATATAAAACTAACATAGATACACAAATATTAAACTAATAGAAAAACATCAATGTTTTAAAGGTCAACATTAGTCGTTGTAGACAAAATGAATTACTATATTTTATCTAGTTGTAGCATCTTTGTCCCTATTGTTAAAAAAAAGTTCAAAAAATCAAAGTAAATTTTTTGAAGGATGTAGGCTTGGTGTATCAGAAACCGGTACGGAAACCATTTGAAAATGTCTGTGCTTCCTAGGTTTGAAAGGTTATTATGCTACATTGATAAGGTAAGAAAATGTCAGATCACATGTATAGTGTAGTTATAGTCTGTTAGGAAATGTATGTGATAACAAAATCGAAAGCCATGATCTTATGCCAGATTATTGCTTTAGTCGATTTTAATTCCTACAAAGTCAAATAATCTCTTCTCTTGCTGATGAGATTTAAATCTTATGCTTTTAATGTTTTGGGCAGATAAAACAGCTGAGTGAACCTATAGAGGTTAGAATCACAGAGTGGAATACTAGGGGCCTGCTAACAAGGATTGAGGTTTGTGCCATTGACCTGAATATTTATGTTCATGTAGCATTTGAGTAAATGTTTATCTCTTCTTGAATTTGGAACTGCAGGGTTTGCGAGCTTTCCTACCTAAAGCTGAGCTTATGAAAAGAGTAAATAGCTTTGCTGAATTGAAAGAAAATGTGAGTTTCAGTCCTGGAATTTTTCTGCCAGATAGAAAAAAATAAAATGAAAGAAAAATAGAAAATAAAGATTTTTTTTTACTTTGGGACAACCACTTAGCGTATGAGCTTCTTCTGAATTCTGATACTCTTAGTCTTTGGTTGTATTATCTGCTGTTAAGTGGATCAGAATATAACAATATTTATAGCTATGCTGATGTGGATACTGCCATTAGGCTCAATTAAAATCTTATGTGGCTTCGGTCTCCTTGAGTGTGATCAACGGAAGCATATACGATCTATCCCTGTCAATTTTACTGTTGTTCTTTAATTGAAACCTGTTATTTTCCAAGCTTTAGGTATGACTGTGCCTTAAGAAAGTAGTCAAAGATTTTAACAGTAAGTATCATAGGATAGGAGTATTCAACATTAAGACAATTTTGTTCTGACCATGTATTGAAAATGATGTCTTCTATAATTGCTTCAGTAAGATCTGTATGCTTTTGCCTCTGGCTTATGTTATTTTATATATATTTTTAAATGAAGACCTGTCTATTTCAAATTCTTATACGTCACGATTCATGAAGGAGTTCAAACTTCAAAATATGAATAGTGGTGACTTAAGTTGTCTTGTGGAATACCTTATGAGCTTCCTCTAAGTAAATGAATATAGTTATTTTTCCTTTCTAATTGTTCACCATCCATTGTTAGTCTTCATTTTTTTTCCTTCCTTACTTCTTACGACTATTTGATAATATTGATGTAGGTAGGACGTTGTATGTATGTACAAATTACTCTAGTAGATGAAGCTAAAAGCAATTTGATACTTAGTGAGAGGGAAGCTTGGGTCAGTACTCAAATCTGCCTATTTCCTTTCTTGTTGCCTAGTTTAAATATTTCAGTGTTGGAGTTTTTAGTTTTGCTTTCTCCTTTTTATCTTCTGAAATTCCTGCTGTATAATTATCTTGATGTTTCAGGAAAAACTATATCTTCGAGAAGGAACCCTTCTTGAAGGGACCGTGAAAAAGATACTTCCTTATGGAGCCCAAATAAGGATAGGAGAAACGAATAGAAGGTGAGTGATAGCTTAGTTATATATAGCTAACTCTTCATGCTTTTTTTTCCCTGTTCCGTAAGTCATAACTTTATTCAAAGGATTCATGTGGATGCAATTGTTATTTCCAAGGAACAATTCCATCTTGGAGTATCGTTAGATACTTGGACACTTCCAACTTCCCCGCTTTGATTTTTCCACTTGTGAAGGAAGGAAAAGTTACTGCAAGTTGATCCTACATATGACTGATAGAAAAGATAGAAACAAACTAGATAGTATATGAACAATCACGTGAGTGCTTTTCAAAGGTCTATTTATGAATCACCTTTGAAATTGATGGAATTGTGTAGACCTGCATTTACTCTGAAGGGAAAAAAGGGAAATTGATGGGATTCATAGCAAGAAGAAATGAAGTTTTCATCCAGATTGGAGGTCGTGCCCTGTCACTTGATCATATTTGAGCCTCTATTTAATTCCAAGGTCACAACATTGTCTTTCAATGTTAAAGCGACATGTTCCTTCTTACTTAGCATGCACTCGTGCTAAAAAATTACCTCTTGCTTTGGAAACATCTTCCTCTTTGATCACATACTATTGATTTATACTCCACTTATGTTGAAATTTTCTTCGGTAATGGGCCCTAAAAGATTGGAAGTATGTTCACCCTCCAAAGTCAATTCTTGATCGACCTTAATTCTGAATTTGGTTGAATCTTGTAATCATGTCAATGAAAAACACAACAGACAACAAAAAGAGTTCTAAGTAACTAACCAGAAGAATGACAACCAATTCTAATTTTGTAATGGTCTTTAGTATCATTTTGCACTAGCTCTTAAGTAAAACACTGTTATGATTGGTTTGCAAAGCAGATATTGTATTTCCTCCTGATGCTCAAAAAGTTATGTTTAAGATTAAGTGATATCAAAAGTTATGGTGCTGGAGTTTTTACAAGTTATAACTGTAAAAGATAATGATATATTATATTGAAACATAAGGTAATGGAGGCAATGTGCTAAATGGGGTCGTGACTCATGAGTCAGACTTTTTAACAGGAACGCTGGAGTGAGATCTTAATATGAAATATGAATATAAGAGAAGTTATTAGCACCTTCTTTCCTTGTCCATTGAAATCTGGTTTAAGAAGGGTAGTCCAGTACAAGTGTATTCAATGCTCAAACCTTGGGATTTCTTTTTTGAGGATTCTTGATAATCTAGAGTGCAAAGGTAAAATTTTCAGTTGGTTCCGTTCCACAAAGGTCCACCACATGAAAATGCTTCTTCACATTAGGTCTTAAAATCCTTAATCAGGTTAGGACTGGAAATGAATTACTGGGCTGGAGTAAGGGCTAGTACTTGGTGTAATGATTCTGGTCGAGAGCATCTCTGCCACTAGCTTCTCAATCTTCTCTTGAATGAGAAAGGAAGAGAGAAAGAATGCAATATGCATTTAAAAAGTGGTGATTACAAGAGGAAGAATCCTCTTACAAGGCATCTTCCCTTCTCTGTGGTTCATGCCTAACAATCATGTTTATTTTTAATACTCATATGACATACCTAACCTTTTTCGTTTTGTGGAAAAAGTTGCATCATTGATGATTCTGGCTTGGCTATTTTATTGTTAAGCTGCTTTTCGTAATCATGTTCTGCTCCTTGTTATCATCAAGATTTGCATATCTACTTCATGAGTTAAAATTGTTAAGATATTACCTGACGTTTAAAATGAATCTGTTGGGTACCTTTCAGTGGATTGCTGCATGTTTCAAATATCACCAGAGGTGAAATTACTTCTGTTAGTGACGTACTTTTCGTTGATGAGAAGGTTAAAGTTCTCGTGGTGAAGTCAGTATTTCCTGATAAAATTTCTCTAAGGTAATGTATTACTGACTTTGACTTCATTCTGTAATTGTTGGATGCACTTAGTCTGTTATTGTTTGTTTGGGGTTATTTAGAGCTTGTTTCGATTTTTTTTTTTAAGCTAAAGCTACTTTTAAGCTAAATTAAAAAAAAAGAGCTTAAAAAAAAAATCAAAAGTTGTTTGGTGATTATTATGATTATATAAAATTTTTAACTTGAAAGTTACGTAAAAACTATTCATTTCAAAAAAGTACACATTTCAAGAAAAGCTAACAAGAGCTTAAAAAAAAGCTCCTCCTAAGAGCTTTTGGCTTTTGACTTTTTTCTTCATCGTAAAAAACGCTCTTTTTTTTTTTTTTTTTTTTTTGTATTATAAGAGCTTTTGTAAAAACCTGTTTGACCTAACTTCTGCTTATAAAGAGAAGAAAAGCTAAAAAAAGAGAATCCAAATAGGCACTTAATGAATAATGGTAAACCTTCCGAGCTAATTAAAATTCCAATTCCTACCCTCCCCACTTACAACCCAACAACTCCTTACAAAATTAGGCATCACTAACAAGCCTCAGAAAAAGGTAAAAATAATGTAACTGAAAAAGGAAAAATCCACCAAAAAAAAAAAAAAATCTGCATTAAAGAATATCATATTGATACAACTCGACCCAAGCCCAATAAGGTGTATAGAAGAGACAAGCATAGAAGGATTTGGACCTCAACTAAGGCTGATCCAAGCCCAACCAACACTGACCCAATTGATGACTCAGCAAGTCTGTTGCAACAGAATGAGGGAACGCAGCACATTGTGAGCAAAGGAAGATTAAATAACGTTGGTGATGAGAGAGAAGGGGAGGCAGAATCTGAATAGTGGAATTGGGACCTTGGGAGAGAGTGAAGCCTCTCCAATTGCTTCACATTATCCTTTACTTTCTGCATTATTTCCTTTCCGTTATTGTATTTCCATTTGGTATGTAATGGGGAGATTAGGCTGCACCACTCTGTAATTTGTCTCCTGTTATCAACTCTGAAGTTGATATTAATTCCTTACTGTAATACTGTAATTTGTCTCCTGTTATCAACTCTGAAGTTGATATTAATTCCTTACTGTAATACGAATTCTGACAAAATTATATACAAATTTTGAAGAGAAAGTAGAGATCCAAAGAAACTGTTAAGAGTGTTAGTGTTAATAGTGTAGAAGTCCCACATTGAGTGTGTCTCTTTGTATTCTTCAATTGGTTTGCTATATAATAGCACCAATGTTGTGTAGTTTAATACAACAAGGATTACTATCATTTCCTCTTGTATCTATGATATTGAACATGGTATCAGAGTCTAACAAGAGGAATCTTAATCCGTTTAACTTAGTTCTATTTTCCATAATTTCAATATGGTTATAGAAAGATATCACCCTCCTTGAGGGATTCCCGTTGCTATTTCTTTTTCGGGTTTTTCTTAGTATGCTCTGTGACTGCAGCTTAGACTGATCTGTCACATCAGAAAAGAATGATCATTGGGAAGTTGTTGGGTTGACCACCGCTGTCGTTGACCGACTACCGTTGACCGCGTTGTCCACCGTTGACAGCCGTCTTCGGCGACTTTTTCGGTGACTTTTCCGATGACTTTCTGGCGACTTTTTCGGCGATCCACCACCGTCTCCGACAACTTTTCCGACGACCCACCGCCGTCTCCGGCGACTTTTCCGATTCCGCGAAGCTTTGTTTTTCTTTAATCTTCTTTCTTCCCAAGATGGAGTATTTATACTATTCATCATCCATCTTGAGGGGGAGCACTGTCCAAGTTGCTGATGTTGTCTCCGCTGATGTTAATTCTGACACCGAAGTTCCTCTTGAGGGGGAGCACTGTCCATGTTGCTGATGGTCATTCCAGCACAATTGTCTTTGCCGATGATAATTCTGGCACTGTTTAGAAGTTCCTCTTAAGGGGGAGCACTGTCCATGTTGCTGATGGTCATTCCAGCACAATTGTCTTTGCCGATGATAACTCTGGCACTGTTTAGAAGTTCCTCTTGAGGGGGAGCACTGTCCATGCTGATGGTCATTCCAGCACAATTGTCTTTGCCGATGATAATTCCAGCACTGTTTAGAAGTTCCTCTTGAGTGAGAGCACCTTCCATGTTGCTGATGGTCATTCCAGCACAATTGTCCTTGCCGATGATCATTCCGGCATCTTCCATGTTGATGTTCATTTCGACGCCATTTTTAGCACATCGTTGATTTTTGGTTTCTCATTTAGGAGATTTATTTTGATGTTATGTTACTTGGTCTTTCTTGTAATAAGCTTGTAGCATAGTCAAGGGGAAACCGCGGCTGCTCACCAACTGTTAAATGAAATGTCTGAGAGGGATCTTGATGCTGATGTCCTGGTCAGCTCAGTTGTCTTTGCCGATGATAATTCCGGCACCATCCATGCTCTGATGTCCATTCCAGCACTGTCTCTTTATCAGCTCTTCAGACTGATGGTCATTCCAGTTGATTTGTTGTACTTAGTCATTTCATTTTGTTGATGTAGCATTGTTGTTTTTGGTTCCTAATGGGAGTATTATTTATGTATCAAGCTTATAGCATATGATCTATATGCTACAGCTTGAGGGGGAGTGTTAAGAGTGTTAGTGTTAATAGTGTAGTAGTCCCACATTGAGTGTGTCTCTTTGTATTCTTCAATTGGTTTGCTATATAATAGAACCAATGTTGTGTAGTTTAATACAACAAGGATTACTATCATTTCCTCTTGTATCTATGATATTCAACATACAAAATATCACAACTTGACCATGGTTTCCTATGACCATTGATGGACTTTCACATAACAGCTTAAACTTTTGAGTTGAATTAGTTCTTTACATGGTATTAGAGCCTCGTGTCCCGGGTTCGATCCTCGCCACCTCCCATTTTCTCTTGTGGAATTTCTTAGCACAGGTAGGTGGGCATGTGCATTATCCATCCTTCATGCCCAATAGGCTCTCGTGTGAGGAGCGTGTTTGAGAAATATATAAACCATTGATGGACCTTCACTTAAAAGCTTAAACTTTTGGGTTGAAATAGTTCTTTATATATATCCAAAAACTAATGCTTTATCCCTTGAGTCTTTCTTTTTAAAGAGGTTTCTTGAAAGTTGAGATAAATGAACTTTGCTTGGAGTAGAGTATACTTGGGCTCACTATGGTCTATCAGTTATCTGTTCTTTACCAGTTGACATGTTTTGTTCAACCCTTTCTCTCAAAAGTAGTGTTTTAAGGAACATTAAGTGCTATAATTGCTGCTAATGTGTTTTTGCTTTTGTTTCATGCAGCATCGCAGACCTTGAAAGTGAACCTGGCCTGTTACTATCCAATAAAGAGGTATTTAATTCTTCTTTTTTTATATATATTAAAGTTCTTTGGTTTGAACCGAGGGCGAGCCTGGAGCAGTTGTCATGCTGCTCTTTTGTGACTAAAAGGTTATAGGTTCGAATCCGGTAAACAGTTTCTTTGCAAATATGCAAGAGTAAGGCTGCGTACAAGGATTGTTCTCACTTTTACCCTCGTTAGTCGGGATTTAATAGGAAGTGCTTTTTAAAGTTCTTTGGTTTGAGTTACATTGATCTTGAGAGATGCTTGTTTCTTTTCTGTCAAAAGAGAGTATTTATGGAGGCTGATATGATGGCAAAGAAATACAAGGAAAAGCTACATCATGCTATTATCACACAACAACCAGAAACCCTTCCAAACGGTGCCCTGCCTTTTGAAAATGAAGCACTTTATGCTAACTGGAAGTGGTTCAAGTTTGAGAAATAATGATGAAACAAATTAATCTTGAAAGCATAAAATCATTCACAGAGAACATGACATTGCATGGAACATCCAGTTCCAAAACTCTTGGCCATCATTCTTAGAAGAAAACATTATGAGCCTCAGACGGAAAAGATTTTGATTCAGTCGTTATTCTCTTGATGAGTTGGTTTGGCATGCATTACGTAGAACGCACAAGCCATAACGGATGTGGTTAAATAGATCATCAAAGTGTTATTAGCTTTCAGGTTTTTTTGCCCCTTTAGTTTTTTTTAATAACTTTTTTAGCTATCTTCTTCGCTTGTCGTTTTATGGATAGAGAATCGTGTAGTTATATGAAAATTTATTTGGAGTTATAATTACATTGATTTACTTCAATATTGATGCTTTCATTTCCATCTTGTTTCCGTCCTTATCTTTTCATCTCTTTTTGCTTTTTAAGGGTTTGTATTATTGCTAATTTGGAGATAACAATGGATGTTCCAAAATATTAAATCATTTAATGTTCGTAAATAAAATTCATCAATCATCGTCGTTGCACGGATAATCTAGTTTGTAGCTTAAAATTATGGAAAAATATTTTTTGGAACAGTGATCAAAATGTCACTGTTCATCAATTTTTTTACTTAAATGCCACGCGAACAGTCTTATTTCTCAATCTGCCTCGGGGGCGAGTTCGCTACCCGGTGTAGCGAATTCGGTTTGCTGACGTGTCACGTTTCTAGTGGACACCAAGTTCGCTACACGGGGTAGCGAACTTGGTTAAACCCTATGTAGCGACCTTCAAACCTTTTTTTTTTTTTTAATTTGGTACTTGTTATCCACTAGAAATGTGACACGTCAGCAAATTGAGTTCGCTACACCGGATAGCGAACTTGTCCCCGTGACATTTAGTTAAAAAAGTTGGTGAACAGTGACACTTTGGTCACTGTTTCCAATATTTTCTTTTTATATTTTTTAATATATGTGGACTTCATACAAGATGTGTCTATAATATGAAAAAAAATTCTCCTATTGCATAAAAAAATTGAAACCCTAAAATTATATATGCTTCTTTCATGCTAGAGTAACTGACTTATGAAACTTAAGACAAACCAACTGCTCGCAAGTCATGGGAGGTGATCTCAAGGGCTTGAAAGTTATCAATAAAACTACGATACAAGGCAGAAACCATTCAAGTTTATAAATAAAGGGTTTTATAATTCTCATTCAACATGAGAATTCAAATTTTCCTACACACCCTTCGATTTTCGTGCTGACACGGGTCTTACATATAATTTTTTCTAACACACGGGTCCCACATGTTTTTTATCTCTACAACATGAGAATTGAATTCTCATTCAACATGAGAAAATCAAATCCCATAAATAAATGATAATTATAAATATTATTTTAAAGATGTATTTCTAACATGACCTAATCTTAAACTTATGAAAACTGTTGATTTGAGTACCAAATATTAAGCATAGCCTACACGTAAGAATTTCGAACAATTTCTCTCAAACTCAATCGCGGGCTGATTCCAAGAACTCTTCCAATCAAGAATTGGGGACGAAATGTTAAAGAATAAAAATGATAAAATACATAGGATGTAGTGATACTTTCATGTTCGCCAAAGTCAATCAAGTATTTGAACGCTGACCGCAATCGGAATAAACTATTTCTAATCATAATCAATACAATTAAAATTTTTGTCAAGCATTACTATTAATATTATTACCAATTAATTATTGATTATATTGATTCAACGGTTATATTTATTTTTATATTTGTATTTTTATGATTTTCTATATTTAATACTTTATATTTATTTTCACCTTTAGGTAGTTATGATTTCCCATATTTAATATGGAAACATTAAATATGGAGAATCATAATCATTCAAAGATGAAAATAAATATAATTGTTGGATCAACAAAATCGATCTAAGGGTGAAATTGATCGGTAGTAACACTAATTGGTTGTTACAATATCCTACCCATATTCATTAATAGAATAATAATAAGATTTATTATATTATTTGTATTTTAAATTATTTTACCCATAATAAAATTGAAACAACAAAATATAAGAATTACTATTATTGTTATTTATATTGCGAACAAGAAAGTGTATGATACAAATAAGTAATTAGGATGTTGTTAGACAAATAAGGAAAATTAGAGAGTATTTTATTATGTTATTTTGTATTTTGTTATTTGCTGGGTTTATTTTTTCTACAGTCAATGTAGACAAAACGAGGTCGTTTTGAGACGAAAATCAAGGTATTTTTGTAATTATAATTTATTTCAGGATTATAATAGTATTTCTTATTATAATTTTTTAATTTTTTTAAATTCAAAACGGCGTCATTTTAAATTTTGAGAATGAATGTAAATAACTTATATAAGATGTTATTATTTTGCTTGGATAATTTTAGATCCTCTCTCGTGTACTTAAATATGCATTTTTGCCATTGAATAGGAAAACAAATTCAGGAGATTCACCCTTCTGGTTGAAAGATGGGACCTCCCCTCGGATTGAGACTAATTTTTCTTGTCTCTATTATCAATTGGTGCCCTCGTTGAGAGGAGCACCATGAATGTTCCATCATTCATGTTAGAAAAACAAATAACCCATCAACATTCATCAACATTTTTCTATACATTTTCTAGTCAAATTTCCTCAACCGCCCAAACCACTACCTCCTTTACTCATTCACAATATCAAGATCCAAAAGAGGTATTGGTCAATCTACGTCAAATAACTAGTGTACGTGAGTACCGGGAGCAATTTGAGTCGCTTGCAAGATGCACTGTGGTTCCACAATCAATATTGATGCACCTTTTTATCTTCAGTTTGAAAGCGAAGATCCGCGAGGTAGTTCTAACATGGCAACCAATTTCGTTATCTCAAGCCATGGATTTCGCTTTTAGACAGGAAGAGAAGAAGCTGAAAAGATGCAATCGAAGTTCCAGTGTCACACTGCCCTAAATCAGTTGTGGCTTCCAATGTCTATAATTCTGAGTCGTTGCACATGGTTTCATTCAATGCCGTTAAAATCGAAATCTTGTAAAATCGAAAAAGGATTAAAAAATCGTAAATTGTAAAATAATAATATAAAATAAATTGTAAAAACATATTAGTAAAATCATTTTGATGAAAAAACTCGTAAAAACATAAAATCGTAATGATAAATCGAGATTTTAACAACAATAGTTTCACTATTTTCACTCTCTGTTTCATCTGGCTTGGCTAATGCTGTCACACTCCTTCGTTCTACAATTTAATTGCTACCCATTGCTCGGAAGGTGTTTGCTAAAATGGCTCTAAAAATTTTTGTCTGTTGGAATTTGGTGTAGGATCCAGGTGGAAGGATTGTGACCATGATAGTATTGATCCTCATCTTTGTGGTGCTGGGGACTTTCATCACAAAAGGGGATGAGGGAAAGGCTACCTGTAATGAAATGTTTTCAACAAATGAGTCTGCACAAAATGTATGCAGAACAGAGCATTTAGTAGAGCTTGCTTTCAATTTAGGCTTTGATGGGTGGCTGATGAATGTGGAGGTAACATTGGACCCGGGGCAGATTTCTAATTTGAAAGAGTTTGTCAACCATTTATCATTAACAATGCATTCTTCTGTGCCTGAATTATTAGTGATATGGTATGACAGTGTCACTATTGAAGGTGATTTATGGTGGCAAAATCAACTAAATGAACATAATAAACCTTTCTTTGATATATGTGATGGAATATTAACAAATTATCCTCATCTAAGCAAGCGCTAGATTTTGAGACTGCTCAGAATCGTTGGTGGGGTCTTGCGGAAAAATCATGGGGCATACTGCGAAAGTATCCTGGAGCACTACCATTTGTGCTGATGTGTGATGGAAAAATCCTACAAGCTACTCCTTATCACCATCTGTTGACCTCAAGCCAAGAATTTCAGAACCTTGTTAATGCTCACCAGGTGGCTGCTGGTTCTGACCGAATTGTGGATGTTACTTCCCAGAGACGTTCAAATACTGATATAGAGATTAGGAAAACATACATGGAGAACCAGTGTGAAGCATCACAAGAAGGTCAATTAATTAAGCAATAAGAGAGAGCAAAACGAAACAAAGGGTTCAAGCCTCACTTACAGTATTTGAATCAGAACAAACAAGTATTTTCCAGAACCATTTTGGTTAAGGAGGAATTCTCCCCTCCAAGTGAGATAGCTCTTTCATGCCAATACTAGTCCTTTCTTCCATAGCTTTGCAACTAATGAGTGGTTAATGCTAAGGTTGGAAACAGTCAGTTCAATCATTTTTGCATCCGCAGCACTTTGGAGTATCAACAAGAAGAATTTTGTAAAGCCTAATTTTTACCCCGAGGACAAGGTGTTTGTTAAGGGGTGTGGAATGATACAAACGAGTAATTAGGATGTTGTTAGACAAGTGAGGAAAATTAGGGAATTTGTTATTTTGTATTGTGTTATTTGTTTGGATGATTTTAGATCATCTCTCGTGTACTTAAATAGGAATTTCTGCCATTGAATGAGTAAGCAAATTCAGGAGATTCACCCTTGTGATTGAAAGGAGCAGTGCTGTGAAACCCGGCCTGAGTCGACCTGGAATCCGGCAATCCAGTTATCGGATTGGTGTTGGAATTTATATATATATATATATATATATATATATATATATATATATATATATATATATAATTGTGTAGACACTCTATTGGTTATGAATAAGAAGTTTGGTAATGAAAGGGTGTGTCTTTTCGTCGACAAACAGATGTATCTTTTCATCCTAAATGATGTGTTGTTTCATCTGAACGGATGTGTTGTTTCATCCGAACGGATGTGTTGTTTCATCCGAACGGATGTGTTGTTTCATCCGAACAGATGTGTTGTTTCATCCTAATGGATGTGTTGTTTCATCCTAACGGACATGTTGTTTCATCCTTGAATGGGTGCCTTTTCGTGTTGAACGAATGTGTCTTTTCGTGTCCAACGGATGTGTTGTTTCGTCGTCGAATAGGTGTCTTTTGAAACGTGACCGGTCAGTGTCTATAAATAGACACTGACACCTTCATAAAATGGATCCAATTTTCTGCACTGAAACTCTGCCGGAATTTTTCTCCTTCCGGTTTTGCATATTCCTTTTCATACTCCGGTGTGATTTCCTCTGGCATATTGTTGTGTTCGTTTGGGCTGTTGATTGGTAGTGCCGCCATTCTTCAGACGAAATCCGTTCTATCCTGGGAGACAAGTGTCCATCAACCTTGGGCATCAGTGAGGGGACAAATTGTCTTAAGGAGACACGTTCTGTGGGCTCGGATTTTATTCCTCTGATATTGCATTTTTTCATTCTTCTGATTTTGTTTGT